ATAACCTAACCTAACCTAACCTACCCTATTGATAAAGATATTTAAATAATATTTTATATAACTTTCTCAATATTTTTATGTATTTTTTATTAGTTTTACCTTTGAATATTGTTTAATAATGACTATATACATATATACGTGCCTAGAAATGTATAAAAATTGGCATATTTATTAACTTTGAACCCCCATAACTTTTTATGGGGGTGAGACAGCTACGAACTTTTTATGGTACAGTGGTGGGGGAGACCTCCTGTTTCGATCCTCCCACCTCCACCCCCGAAGGGGATGGTGGCCATCATCTAGACCTTTACCATGTAATTTTGACAAAGAGCCCTTAAAATAGCGTGAAGTACATTTTACTATTCAACATTCCAGCTATTCAAAAAATTTTTTATTTCCCAAATATGCGTTTCCTGTCCAAAAATAACACGTTCCGTTAACTGTAGGCAGCAATTTTCCGGTTCAATGTAAATACTTTTATTGTAGATACGTAATTCTATTTTCTATATCCGGAGGAAAACGATTCACCTGCTTCGGCGGTCTTCTACTTTTATACCTGTGTACATAATGGCCACTTGATGTTTCATTGCATATTGTGTATTGTATTTACTTCAAGTGTAACGTTATTCGATTCATTGAAGCAAGCATTTTTTCTATCCTTTTGTTTTGTAGTATGCAACTGCTACTGTATATATTTCGAAGTTGCGTTATTAGGTATGTTGGTGATTCATTGCAGCAATGATTCTGTCATTAAATGGTTAATAATAGTTAATTGGCTGTCTGTTTCCGACTCATCCTGTTCACTTTTCTTCGCTGACGTGTCTGATTAATTAATTTTTTTTTTTGTAAACGGAAATTGCCATAATACGGCTAATTCGTAGAAGGTAATTTCTAGTTGTTACACCACGATGAAAGATTAAATTTTAAACCAATTGATTTACGGTTTTTGGGCGAAGAGTTGGATGTTGCATAATAAAGGCTTTATCACATCACTAAATATCAGGGATAGTATGAAACTATTATATATGGGAGATATCCTGACATTAATAAATATAAATATTAAGGATTTCTTATTTACTATGAAAACTAATTTTTTTGCAAGCTTTAAAAAGTGCAAGAAAGCGTGTCTGTACAAATAACGGAATTTTTTGCGTTTTTGCGGATTTGTCACGCTTTAATTGCAGAGTATAATAAACTTTGAGGTCATGGGCATTTCACAAATCTCGCTAAGGATTGCGAGAAAGAAACGAATCATTCCTGCGCTAACGTCAAACATTTACAAATTCATTTATTTGTATGTGGGTATATAAACGGTAACTATTTGCAAATGTATATTCGCAATATAAATCATTCATTATGAAGAAATATTTTGTACTTTGGTCAAGAATGCATCCCCAATGTGCTTTGGGTTGAAGGAAGACTAATCCTAGGAAAGAAGTGCATACATACATATAAATATTTAGATTTAGAAAAATAATACAGAAAACTATCCATTCGGTATTTACCTATGAGTTTAAGATATATGTTGCTATTCTTTAGCTTTTGCAAATTGGCGTAATTATCAAGTTCCAATCGCCTACTCGAAGTATGCATTTTTAGCTGTTCTCAATTTTTCACATTTAATCAAAATTCAAAGGAAGCAAACAGAGTTAAAGATATAAATTTTTTTAGAAAAGCAAAGATTACAAAAACAAACCAAACTGACATATATTTTTGTTAATATTTAATTAAATTGTAATACAAATTAGGACTTTTTCTATCTTTTATAACACACATGATAATGTGTTTTGGAATATTTTTTTTTGTTTTCGCTTTTTGCACTCAAAATGTACATATTTTTGAGTATTATTTTGTGGCGGTTAGGTGTAGCGACTTATGGTTATAATGACCAAAAGGTAAGTCGCCATAAACCATTGTGGTTAGACGAAAGTTCATAGTGGGATAATGGGTTCAAATGATGACCCATGGTGAAATAACGTGTAGGTCTACAATATAATATTAATATTGATATGTGTAATTTAGGTAACGGTGCGATAATGAAGTTTTGATGAATAAATAAAACAAAAGAAACGACCATGACCCTTAAATAGGTAAACCAACCCATAGGGCGGCTACATTGTTCTCGCTTTCTGTAATAAACTGTAACGAGCGTGTCGACAAAAAAGTGACCCGTTAGTTATTTACTTACACATAACAAAAGATACGCTTTCTTAGCAGTTGCCTTTAGATATTTTAAGGAACATTTTCATGGATTGTCAGCGTGTGCAATCATTAAAACGTTCTGCCCGCTTTCTATCTTCAAACACAATAAAATGAATGACGTTGCATTTCAGTTGTAATAGTTTCCGTTGGTTAAAATAATTAAGAAACAAAAACACAGAAAAAGGAATCACACTATTTTAAAACAATGGGAATGTAAACACTTTCAGACATCAACAATTTTTGTGCAGTTTAAATCATTCACCGACTTCTGCACAGATTTGTACCATACCATAAATGCATTGCCTAAAATAATACATTTCGAAAAATTAGCCTCTTTGTGCATGTAATAATTGGTTAATTACATTTAAAATGTTTTTGTTTGCAACCGCAAATGACCTCCTGTATTATCTAAACGGCCTTCAATTTGAACAAACTTTCGTAGTTTTGATAATCCTTCTGCAACTTTATTGTGAGATATTCAGATGATGAAATTAGTATTTTTGTAATGTTTTCGGTAATAAATTAATCATAGTTTATTTTCTAAACATTGATTCATTTTATTACTTAATAATTATGTATTTATAACCGTATTTTTTTTAAATTATCATTAATTATTTATTAAATTCCATGTGCAATAATTAAGTTTATTTTTTCATATTGTGTTTAAAAATGCAAATCCGTAGTTGTTCATCTGCTCTCATTAGAGAAATTAATAGGTCATATTAGCAGTAAATATTATTTCAAACAAATTTATCCACTGCACTTTTTTGATTCACATTCAGTAAGTAGCTGCTGAATTATTACTGAACAGATATTCTGGATGAATTAATAAAATAAACACAGAAAAGAATGTACAGAAACGATCATTATTTGATTAACTGATATTGATAATGCATTTATTCGACGTTTTTGTGGCAAATAGGCAGGTAGGTTTACATATTCACCTGTTTTTATGTACAAAGCTCCAACATTACATTGATAAGATAATGCCTCTTGATAAAGGTGTAGCTGCTAATGATTCACAGAAAATATTTCCTACATTTTATATTGTAACCTGAATTTCACAAAAAATGAGTAATTCTGAATAACTAGTCTGTTAGTGAGTAATCATAATAAGTGATTTCAAAATGTTAATAATGATATGGCACACACGGAAAAAACAACGTGCGGTCGCATACTTTGCTCTTGTTTGCTTAGGCAGCGATCTATATTGAATTTGCCCTACTTTTTGTTACATAAAATTGATTTATTTTGTGCGTATAATTTTCATTTATTTGCACGTTTTGTCTATGCAAGACTTTTGTTATTATAAATTACATAAATGTTGGGAAATTTTAAATATTAATTTGTGTAATTTCTTAATAAAAATATGATTCATCCAAGGTGACGTATTTATCAAATCATGAAAGAAAATGAGAAGTTTGTCATCCATTTTATTCTAATTTTATGCAAACTTTGTTTACGAATGAATAGGACAGTAAAAGTAAATTTAGATTTGAAAACCCAAAAATTACTTGTTCAATTATGTAAGAACTTCTATGAAATTTTCATTTCATGTAACCAATCGTTGAAAAAAAGGTTGATTGTATGATACAATACAATCATTAGAAGGAAATGTGGTTTAAGTTTTAAATTGAAACAATAGACCAAAGCATTCGTTCGGGCATTACTTAATCACCCAAAATTTAATCAAAAGAAAGTAGCAGTTGCATTGTTTTTACATAAAACGAAAATTTGAGGTAATTTAAAGGAAATTAAAATTCGTTAAGTTTATGTGTTGGAGAAATCGATAACTGAATGCAATTTGCCTTTAGGAAGACAATGTCAACAAATTTGTGTTTCTCTACTTTGTTTTCCTTTTGGAATTAGGATGTCAAACAATTCAGCAAAAAAGAAAATTGGAAGTGGTTTTCCAAAAAATAATTCATGAAGGATTATGCACTGGGCATCTACAAATTTTTCTTGAACTGTTGACGAAACAGTGATGGGGTAGTTTTATCAAAAATTTAGTACTTACCAGTGCAGTTAAAATTCCTCGAACAGTTATTCCCACTTGGGGTTCGAATCGCATTTCGACTCCAGGTTCTATCACTACTTCTGCATTCCTTTCGACGATGAGATCGTTTCTAAGCCAATAAGGACTATTTGTCCTGCTAAACACTAATTTATTATCAGTCACTATTCCTCCGGGATGTTCATGAACTTCGGTATTCGGTGGACTCGGAAAAACTTCTGTAACGCTCTCCTGAGTCCTCACAAAATTTGAAGGCATAAGGCACATGAGAAACGTACAAGTTAAAACAAACCGTGAGGTTCTTCCCCGCGGTAACATTTTCCGCATTTTAAGAAAACGTTTAAATTTAAAAATCTTGTTCGGACGGAACAAAAAAGTTAACGGAATTTTGTCACCTGTGCATGTTATTTAAAATTAAAATTACACCGTTCGGAATGATTTAAATGACAAAGAAAAGAGATTATGCAGATAAGCGTTTTAAATCCCTCGTGGCGACTCTCTTATTTTCTGTTTCAGCCATGAGAGCGTTACGTTTCTTACTTTCTTCCGTCCTTTCGCAATATCACACTGCTCCAACGCATTTTTTTTACTAGGCTCGTCCACTAATTTCCTCCGTAAGGAAAATGCACCACTTTCCACAAAAAAAAATTGCCACCAAAATTTAAAAAGTTTTTACTCTCACACAATGTTCGATGTTTACATTAGAATTCGTTTTTAACGGATTTGGTCTTTTACAGGCGCGGCTATAGTAAGTTTTTCACGGTAAAAAGCTCAGGTCATGTGACTTGACGTCATCCAGGTAAATATCCCCACTCACCTGTCCTTACTTGTTATACAGGTGTGCTATTGCTTTGTTTAACCGTCAGAGCGCGATATCAGTCGAGAAATTTTAGATTTCGGGGCCCCGGAGTCGAAATACGACTAAATTCTCTCGACGGATGCACAAAAGCCCAAAGTCCGAATGGAGCGTAGGTAGAATTTATAATTACGTTATTATTAATAATTGCAACCAATTAGGTATGAGCGACGTGTGTAAAGACAATTTTAACAACCTTTCCGGAAAAGGTTAATGTCTTCTTAATTAGACCGTTTAAATGCCCCTTTCCTGAAGATATAAAAGTTAACGTATCACGTAACTCTTGTAAAAGCTAGGCATAATTAAAATTGAAAACTATTGCCTAGTTTTGTATATAAAAAAATTAAAAATTACAGTTTAAATAAACAATTGAGAGATAGAACAATATTATAAATTAACTTACGCGCCCTCAAAGTTCTTTAACTTTGAAACAAAAAATAGTGAAATAATATATGTTTGCAATCTACCTCTTTCTACAAAAAAAATGCATCATTTGTTATTTTTCTTTTAGGTTGCGCTAATTAGATGTTTTTTTTTTGTGGTTTGGCTACAAATCTGCTATTTATTTAACTAATACGTGGTACCTATTATGCGTGACTAAACCAGTATTATATTACCTTTTTAGGGAGGCGATAATGAGTAGTTTAGGAAGTGTAAAATCTTCAACAAGCCAATGAATAGGTACTTACAACATCAAACTAAAATATTGTCAGCAAATACCAAAATAGTTTGAATTCCAAACTATTCGAGTATATTTAATTTGTAACATTTCTACATGTAAATGTAGAAGATATTGAGTAAAATAGAACGATTATGTTTTTGATTAAAAATGGAAATTTTTTTTCGAATTTTACTGTTTTTACCCAAAAGGGGAACAATTGTATTAGGATAACTTTATTGTGTTTCTTTGCGTATATTATCCTTCTTGTGGTATTAAATTTTTATGTTGTATGAATAGTACAAACATTTTTCTGCCTTTTAAAACGAAAATTTAGTCAATATTTATCATATTTTGACTATTTTTTACTGTCTTTTGTTTCTCCAGTAAGAAAATAATTAGCTTATTTCAAATTTATCGATTTTAAAGTGTTTTCAGCGATATTTTGATGGTACCTTGGCTGCCATTTTGAATATATAGTTGGCATAGTTGTAAATGATTTCGGACATTGAGACTGTAAACACACTTGTCCTTTGGGGTATACTTTAAACAGAACCAAAGTTATGGCAACTTAACCTAAATTAATATTTAACCTATAAATTTGACGTTTGTTAAAAACAAGGTAATTTATCTTACAATTGTTCATAAATATTCGAATAATATTAAACAATTTCCTTACATTATAAAAAATGAATAATACCAAATTAACAGTACTATTTGAAGGATATTCAGATTTGGTAGAAAATGGTATGAATGCAAATAGTTCATGCACTTTGTTGACTGGACAAAAAAACGTAATAATTGATACTATGACTGCTTGGGATGGCGAAAAATTAATAGTGCGATTAAAAGAATTAAATTTAAGCTGTAGTGATATTGATTATGTAGTCTGCACTCATGGACATTCTGATCACATAGGTTGCAACTATTTATTTTTAAATGCTACTCATATTGTTGGTTTTTCTGTCTCACATAAAGACTTTTACCATAATGTTGATTTTAATACTCAACTAGAATATAAATTAGGCGAATATGTGAAAGTAGTACCTACACCAGGGCATACACTTCAAGATGTAAGTGTTATTGCAAAAGTGCCTGATTTAGGGACTGTTGCAATAACTGGAGATTTATTTGAAAATGAAAATGATCTTAATGATGAATCCATTTGGATTTCTGCTGGGAGTGATTCTCAGGAACTTCAAAGGAAAAATAGAAACTTTATTTTGTCTTTGGCTGATTGGATAGTACCTGGGCATGGTCCAATGTTTAAAGTTAAAAATGTTAATGAATTAAATATAAAATAAACTGACTTGCATATTTCTAATTTTTGTTAACTGATTGATGAACAGTAAGAGTAAGGATAAATTAATAATTTAATTTATTTTTTAATACCTACCTATGCATTTAAAAGCAATGGTTTATAATCTTAATTGTTTATTTGATATGTTAGTATATCAAAAGGGAGATTTACTTTTTCTGGGTTAACTTAATTTTTTTCCTTTTCTCTTTAGATTATAAATACATTCGGTTATTGGTAATTATTAGTAAAAAATTAATTAACTCTAAAAAGTAATTAAAAAAGTATGAACATTTGTTTTGTTCAGGCAACCCGGTTTGCACAGGTGTAATTGTGTTTGACATTCTGTGCGCCTTTACCAATGATTTTATATTTGAAAGATGAGGGAATCCTCTCTTGCCTCTCTTCTACAAATTGACTTTAATTTTGGGTTTGATTTATGTTCAAACTAATAATTCTATAATTATTGAATTCGTTTGGTGGAAAGAATATTATTTTCCGAGCGAAAAGAACAAAAAGTTTCCAAACCGAAGTAATGGAAGACGTTTGGAAAAGTAATTAGAAAAATATGATTAGGTATTTTTCCCTGCCAAACTTTTGTAGGAATTTCTTTTGCTTCATAATTGATCGTCTTATTAAAGATGAGTTAGCCCATCCTTTGTCTAATCCCCGTTGCCAGGGGCTACGCCACCCGCTTGTTTGTTCTGTGCAAGAAAACTCATATCCTAATTGGGTTACCTTACATCTGCGTCATCGTCGGCTAGAATTACGAATTATATAACGATGAAAAGACTAAGAATGCGCCCTTGCCTCCTGGTTTTCTTTTTTCTTTTATCATGACATGATATTATACATAGTATAATCCAATACTAGTTTCTTTTGAAATATATTTCTCGTTGCGCTCTTTATTTAGGTAATATTCTAAACCTTTGCTGTTAACAATGAGAATGTTATTCGCGGTATTAATTTTAAATCGAAATTGTACGTTGCTATAGCTACAAAAGCGAATTAACCAATCGTGATTGTCATTTCCTTTTCAAAAGCTTGTTGCTATGGTTACAAATGTAGGCAGCCAATCAGAACGGAGAATTCTGTTGGTTACTATGGTAATTCACAAAGGAAACGCTGAGCGCTAATTTGAATTAGAGTTATGCATTTTCTAAATTTCTAGGTAAATAGTTGATATTAGTTTCATAAACATATTAAATGTTGATTGTGAGTACGTAGGTAATAGGTATGTGCTATTTAAACGTTTATTTCTAAAATTGTTGGACTTTTCAAGAATTTATAGACTCATTGTCAAGTGAAGGAAATGTCGCACCCAGTTAGCTACTAATTTTCTCGCCTTTAGATTGTCTTTTATTTCACTGTGCGATTATTGATTGGCCGCCATAAGCGAATGTGAACGCTTTCAAACAATTAACCCTGTCAATAATGGATGTCATATTTGTGCTCTAACTCTAAGTGAAATATTAGATTGATTATTTTCTCAACAAAAAAATAGTCTACCGATAAACTTTCCGTAATGTATTGATAAATATCTGGTTTCAGTTCCATTATATCTTATTTAGACATTTTTGAAAGTAATGCTATGTTAATTGTTAAACGTAAACCATTAATACCAAATGGTAAAAATACAGCTATAAATGTAATTTTCAGTTTTAAATGTGACTGTATGGTTTAAAGGCTTTATTTGTAATAAAATAAATTTTATTTTGATGTAAATAAAGTAGAAAAGTGTTTGTAAAATCATGCTATTTGGGGGAAGTCCCGGTCGCGCTATTAAATTATTTAATCGCCACCACTGCAAAAAATCTTGATTCGTATCAGTTTGTATCGACGCTCTAGTATGACGTCGTATTATGCGTCATATGTTTATATTTTTTATTATTGCACAATATTTATATCGCGTAATTTTCAGTGGTAAATTTTATTACTATAGTTGCAGTGAGTTAAAAAATTAAATAATAGTGGTAGTATAAAGACATTAATAAATATAAATATTAAGGATTTCTTATTTACTATGAAAACTAATTTTTTTGCAAGCTTTAAAAAGTGCAAGAAAGCGTGTCTGTACAAATAACGGAATTTTTTGCGTTTTTGCGGATTTGTCACGCTTTAATTGCAGAGTATAATAAACTTTGAGGTCATGGGCATTTCACAAATCTCGCTAAGGATTGCGAGAAAGAAACGAATCATTCCTGCGCTAACGTCAAACATTTACAAATTCATTTATTTGTATGTGGGTATATAAACGGTAACTATTTGCAAATGTATATTGGCAATGTAAATCATTCATTATGAAGAAATATTTTGTACTTTGGTCAAGAATGCATCCCCAATGTGCTTTGGGTTGAAGGAAGACTAATCCTAGGAAAGAAGTGCATACATACATATAAATATTTAGATTTAGAAAAATAATACAGAAAACTATCCATTCGGTATTTACCATAAAATCCCTTTTGTAGAATCTTTTTTATTAAACTGACTTTATAGCAAAATTGATAAACTGTGATGGTTGACAGTAGCAATAATATATCAACAACAAAATAAAAATGGTTAATCATTAACATTAAGACGAACATACAACAGTTGGTATTAATTGATGGTTATAGAAAAAAATACGTAAAAAGTTGATCAATTCTCATAAGNATTTTTGTACGAACTCCATGGAATGAGGCTGGTTTATAAAAAATCATAGGGTGTTACCCCTTTAAAAACTAAAGGGGTGTTCAAAAGGGTTGTTCCTTTTAAAGGCAGTAGAAGTGGTAAATAATGTAAAAAAGCTGGGGTTGACTACTACGCAAGTACCTTCGGTTGGTACAACATGCTCGGGCAGTTGGGCCCCCTCCAAAAATGGTTATCGATGGTGTCTTTAAAGCTCAGTTGAAGTAAGCCTTTGGTGGCATGCCTATGTATGTTTTGCCCCTTCAAAAGGGAGCAACCCTTTTTTTAACTTCTTTTCTTCAGTGTGTAATGTTGCTCCGAATGGAAAAGGTGTACGCTGTGTTGATGCAGCTCTTTGTTTAAAAAATTAGTATAGGAAAAGGTAATTTTTTGTGATTGAATAAATACAGTGTATTTGTGCACAATATAAGATGATTTTTTATTTTATTTTCATTTAGTTAGTTAATGATCTTGGGTATGTTTAATGTTGAGACTGCATGCACTATTATTTATTTTTGCATTATTTTGGCTTTAAATAGGAAAGTCTGTTTTAGTGTTAATGATTAGTTAGAATATTAGTGTAGAGGCAATAAGTTAGTTGAAATGTTTTAAAATTTTATTTCTTCATTTTATACCTCAAAAGTGGAGTTTTATAGAACAGATTTCTGATATTATATAAAAATAATTGTCAGGTTTGGTGTTTAATTAAATTTTTGAGTGTTTGTTTTTTTATGGAATATTTTTTGTGCCTTTTTATAAAAAAATATCAAAAAGAATTCTAGTCAATTAATTAAAAAAAATAAATTGTCGTTTCGTGTCTAATTACATGGTCTAAGTTCTTTTTCACGTGTTTTTTTTTTAAATTTTCTGTGGTAAATTTTGCTGTATCCTTAATCGCTAGTTTTAAAATGAAAAAATATCCTTTTTATTAATTTTTGACTATAATTATAATTATATTTTAACTCAGAATAGAAGACATTTTTGTGAAAGTTTATTCACCTTTTTTATCATTTTTGAATGTGCAGGGTTTTCATCTGCTGATTA